GGAAAGAGCCTCTCTCACACAATACTTCATACAAATTTAGCCATGTTGAAACAAATCTTATAAACTGTTTCAGTTTTCCTGTACAGAGACAGCCTGAGAAACACTTAGGAACAAAGATGTTTGGTAGTGACTCAGCGTCTCTTAAGTGATGAATAAATGGATGTATCTATTTGCATGCCCCCTGAATGGGGAAAAAACTTTTATTTATGCATCGTAACAACATCCAGAGAGCAAAACTGAAATGTTTTTCCTTTGAAGGAAATGCGACAATAAACAGTAACATTAAACTTTCACATTATTTCTGCATCAAAACGAAGCATAGAATATTGGCAACACCACAGAAGATTTTCACTTCTTCAAGACATTTGCATTTTCCTCCATTTTCTGAGCATTTTGTAAGAAAAATGTGTTTCAGTTGAGGGAGCAGATCCTATGTAATCAATACAGCAGATATTTGGCTTTATACCTCCAGCAAAGACACTGGTAACATTTGATCCATGAGATGTTTTTTCCTAAAAAAGAATTTGGTGGTTTTTTTAAAGATACATCTTTAACTTCAAATATTTAACTTCATTATGAGATGAACAGATGACAAATTTCCCTTTCCTTTTATAATATCATAAAAACATTTGAAAAGTCTGTTGTGCCTGTACATGGTGTTTACAGGGACCAGTTTGTACCCAGTTAATATACTGACATACGTTCTTCCACATCATTTCTCTGCCATAAAAAGATTTCTGTATAGTCCTTGTTTCTGCCTGGTGTATGCAGATGCTGATCCAGCAATATCTCCTGAAGTAAGAGGCAGAACCTCAGGGGAGCCAAATGCTCCATCACCATATTCCCACCAGCACGGAACAACTCTTAAAATGTACATTTTGAACACTTGAGTTTTCTTAAGATGTATCCTTACCAAACCTGATCTCCTCAAAGGCCTTGCAATACCAGTAATGCTTGAAGGTGAAAATACATGGCTGGGAAATATTTTTAAATTAAATATTTTAAAATGCATTTTAAAATATCTTAAAATGTACATTTTAAGTCTTCTTATTTTTAGATCTTCAGAGTGCAAACTCAGCAGTTTGTTTTTTAAACGTAGTGAACTTGATACACAACTCTATTGTGTAAAGATGTAAATCATACTTTACATTCCAGATGTCAAATGTTCCCTTCTTCAAAATACACATATTATGAACTTTTGGATACTTACATTTTTACATAAAAAGGATTTTACAGAGACTGTTTATCGTCCACTGGAAATTGTCTTAAACTAAGGCAAAGTTAAATAACATTACAGTTATTTGTGAGGCAGTGCCAGACTGAGTGAATTTTGACTGAAGCTGCAAGAAGGCAGATGGCACCCAGTGTGTGTTTTCAGAAAAAAAAAGCATTTCAGTATACAGAAATTCCCATTAGACACAATTTCAATAGTTACTTTCTGTAAACTATGACACAACAAAACACATTCAGTATTTCTCAAGTCGAAGATGGGTTAAAAAATGCTAAATGCAATACCAGAAATCAGGTGTCCATTGAATGTGCACGAAGACAAGATGTGGTATATGCACAGAGGTGTTTGGAATCACAGAACAGTAAGTGGGGAGGAAGAATAGATTTTTCGATGTTTAGATAGACAACATAAATGCAACAGCTTTATGGCAAAGGAGTGTTTCTCATCTCTAAGAAACTCATTTCTCTGCTTCAAGTCAGGCAAAATGAGGACTTCCATCTCCCAGGTGTTTAATTTTTCTCTTGGGTCTGTCTCAGCAGGAGGACTGCTCTTCCTCCCAGATGTGTGTGAAGTGTCCTTGCTGACCAAGACAATATCTGGATGTGCCCAACTACTTGTATCCTATCTTGGAAAGAAACCCATGCCTCTGACTGGGGAGAAAGAGCTCCTGCATGATATGGAAATACCTTTTTTGAGGGGAGTCTGGAACTATAGAGAGTGGTGGACTCTTGTTTAGATACAGCTTCTGCCTCCCCCAGCCTTCCTCTTTTTAAAGGAGCAGATCCTGGAACTCCAGCAGCTTAACAAGCCCAAGCTGATCGGCATGGCTGATTAACAGTGCAAGCAGGGTTTGGTCATTTCACACCAGCTTATGATTCAGGACTTGTGGCTCACTGTGCTGGCTTCTTGACTTGTCTCCCAAGCATTGTGTGCTGAACTGAGCTGTAGCTGGAATTCCCAGGGCACACCTCTGCATGCAACACAGCTGTGCAACACGAATTTCATTGACAAGTGTCTGCTGATGTGCAGCAAAGCCACTGAAAACAGAAGATGCTGCATGTGTCTGCTGGCTGCTGCCCACCCTTGGTGCACACTGGTTGTGCCTGGGATTTTTGGATATTACAAAACTTGGACAGCATCAGTCTGGTGTCCAACATCACAGTCCAGTGTTTCAGGTTCCCAAACCCCACATACGCCACCTTTCCGAGTGCAGAAAGAGTATGAATTTGGGGGAACAGGAGGGATAGTATTTCCAACCTAAAATGAGAACGGTAGTGCTTCTAACAACCTATAGCCTGTCACGGGTGAGATTTCAGTGCTGAAGTTGAAAACATTATGAAAACAGTGTAATAGATACTCCTCAGTTTGCAGAGAGCAGTATCATCAGTTAAGTGTATTTTTTCGTGTAGTCTCTGGGCTATTTAACTCGCTCCAAGGCAGAAGGCTTTACATCACAGACCTACTTTCTGTGATGTGTACCATTACAATCAGGTAGTGCAGTGACTATGTACATACCGTAAAGAATTTTTAACCCTTTAATCCCCCTGTTAGTAATTTACTAATTTCTTGATCTGCTCAGTCTGTAATGACTGCCTCCTTAGGAGTATCTTCATGTTCTTGGTCTTCCTAGGAAAAGCAGGTGCTGCTGGAACTAAGTGCTTTTTTCCACAAGAAATCATCCCAGAAACCCTGTTTATCAAAGTATTAGCTGGAACTGGGGGGTGAGGACTCACATTCAGTGGTGGAAGAAAACCTGGTCTTGCCTGAGCAATGTGATCCAACAGTAAGGTTCCCGATCCCTGTCTTTCTAGAAAAGCTTGATTTCTCCTGGTCAGAGTAACAGGACGCATGTTCTGCAGTACTTCTCTAGAATTTTGTAACAAAGAGTGAGAGGGAGAAAGGATGTTTTTCTTTCCTATCACTGACTTACTGTCTTCTGCAGCAGCAGGCCTCATACTAGTAGTTAACTGAGAATCAGAGCTGTAGTGATTTGCTCCCAAGTTTCTTTTCTGGATAACACTGTTAAGGTTTGAAATAAAGCTGATTTGTCCCAAACTGGCATCCTTACCCACAGGAATCCCACTGGGGTTATGTTTCTCTTCCACATAAGGAATCTGAGAGTTTATCTTGTCATATAATAATTTCATTGATCTACTTTGATCAAAGGTTTTCAATAAATGAGGAGTGTCTTTAATGTCAACACTCTGGTGCCTGGTGATGAACTTGTTTGGTGCAGCAAGGCTACTGGTTTTAGAACAGAGCTCTTCTTCTGGGGTAATATCCTGAACTTCTTTGTGTAAAGAGGTGATTTTTTTCTGGTGGAACAGTGACGGAGAGTTCTTTATCCAAGGCTCAGACTGCAGCCACTGCATTTGTGCCAGCTTGGACCTGGCTTTTATCAAGCTGGATTTTCTCATCAGTGAAACTGTCTGAGATGAGTTATCCACGCTTCGTGGATGATCCAGCTCTTTAAAGCTGAAGAATGCCTTCTCAGTTTCATTGGAACTTGAAAGTGAGGATGGAGATGTTTTCAGTTCTATTTCCGATGGGGAAATGCAGGCAGTTGGGGGATGGCATTCCTCGAGGTGTGCAGGAGGCATGTTTAGGTATTGCTTTGTTTTCTGCCTTCCTGATGCGGACTTGTCCATTGTGATGATGATGACTTCTTTTCCTTGCTCTCTGCAGGCATTAAGAAGAACTTTGAGGGTCTCTTTGTCTTCAGAGTTTATTGCGTACACAAGTGCAGAGCAGTTGGAGTGGTCTTGCAGGCTGGGGTCAGCCCCACTTTCCAGTAGCAGAGACACCACTTCAGGGCCTGCTCTTTCCAAACAAGCATGCATCAAGGCTGTCTTCCCAGACTTATCCTGTATGTTCGGATCGGCCTTGTTTTCCAGCAGGTATTTAACCATCCTTGCCTTGCTGACACTCTGTGTGTCCACATGTTTTGTCCGACAAGCAATCATGAGTGGGGTTTCTCCTCTGTCATTGCTCTCATTGATATAGGCACCACCCTCTAATAGCAGCCTGGTGAGGCGGAGGCGTCTTTGGTAGACAGCTCTTATCAGGGAGTTCCCCTCCACTGACAAGTCCACCAGTTCGGTCATGGCACTTGTCTCACTCACAACTTCCTAAGGCCTGGAAAGAGCACTGGGAAAGCAGAAAGCCCCCCAGAAGAAAAGAGAAAATGGAAAGACAAAAAGAGACCCCAAAACAAGAAAAAAGGAAAAAAGACATAAAGAGAAAAAAGATAGGAGAAAAGAGAAAAAAAGGAAAAAGAGAAGGGGGTTGTGATGGGAGAGAGTAAGGAGGGGAAAAAAGAGGGAGGGAAAAGAGGAATAAATTTAAAAGACTGAAAAGATTAAGAAGGGAAAAAAGATAAATGAGAAAACAAGAAAACAAAGAGGAAAATTAGAAAAGGGGGGAAAAAAGGGGGAAAATTAAAGAAAAAAAGACAAGAAAAAAAAGAAAAAAGGATTTAACTGTACAAATTGTGCCTGTAAACACACCTGTACTTTGTGAAAAGAGTATGAAGAAAACAAAAAATATATTTCCACCTCCCAGACTTCAATAAATGCATTAAAAACTTTAATAGTAAAATTTAAATAGAATTTGGATATAATTGTAACATTTATAGATGCTTAAAGCATGGCTGTCACTTTTTTTTAATTTGGTTACTGTGCTCCCTTTTGTCACACTCTGGCAAATGAGCTGCAAAAAAAGTTTAATTCTGCACAGTCCAATGACTTTATACTGCACACACTCAAGTGGCGGTGGTACAGCTGTACCACTGCTGATCCTCACCAGTGCAAGAAGCAAGAACTGAATTCATCTGCAGCATTTTTCATTGGTATGTCACATTCACTTATTCTTTCTCATAAAATGACAATGCTAAACATCTATAAATAAACGAGAAAAATAAAGTTCATGGGTCCCAATAAACAAGAAAAGCAAGCATAATAAAATACTTTTTATCTAAGAAGAAACTGTTCAGTGACTGGAAAATAAATACTGATGTATTTTATAAAAGTAATTACATTTGTGAAGGTACACTCCCTTCCTAATGCACTTGTGCTAACATGCTGGTCTGAGTGACACAGCATCAATGACGTGATGCTCAGCCTGTGCCACTCATCATGGGGATCAGAGGGCTGTGAGGAGTCCTGTACCTGGGGACACAGCACCAGCTCTAAAACAGAAGAGACATGGGATACCATCAAAGAAAAACACAGAAAAAGAAGCAAGAGCTTAATGAGGTGTAAATAATGAAAGGTCTTGTATGGACATATACCTGCAACTAAAAAAATTAGACTATTTTTATTTATGTCTTTAGGTTAAAAAAAAATGTTTAACAGTTGGCAGAGATACAGTTCCAAGACAAGATTAGATATGGATATGAAAATTACATTATTTTATTTACAGTATATTCCTAGAGAAATAAAAATGTCTAATTAGCTTAACTGCAAAGGCAACTAACAGGAGTTCATTTTTATTTACCACTGAAAGTGCTAGTAATGTTCTGGTGAGTAACCAAAGAGCAGTAATTGAGTTCTGATTGTCCTTGATACTGTGGTTTTACTTTGAATTCCAGAATCAAAAGATGACATCAGTGTAGTCTGTTCCAGAAGTCCAACTAACAAAGTCAGCTAAAATAACACGACATTTTTATTACAAATTTCTTCCCCCCC